TAAGTAAATATAATCGAAAATTATAAATCTTTACATAAAATATGAAACACTCTTAGTATTATTACAAATTTACCGTAATAAGAAAGTAAAATTTGTAATATGTATAGAAAGTAATACAACCTTTTCTCGTGGCAGCACCTGCAACGATATGTTTCTGATTGTCATTGCAGTTCTGCAAACTACGGTGAGTATCAATGTTTCATGGCTAAAGAATCGGTGTAAAGGTTATATATTGTTAAAGTATATCTTCTATTCGAAGATATTGTTATACAATAATGGTCCTTCCGCTTCGAGTAGTAGTTGTTTTTGCTGTAAATATTACGTTCTTTGTTAGTTGTATCATGGAACCACGACTTCTTACACTTCATCGGATGTACAATCCTGATGTAACACAGTGTTACGATATCATAGAACAGGTGAATATTAAAAATAGTAATAAATATTATCAGCCAAAAATTGTTACTCAAATTGTATTTTCATTTTTATTGAATCTTATTAGAACCTAAGTTAATCGACATTATGGCACAATGTACAATGTTATAGTACAGTAAACAATATATTCTTATAATTTTGAAGTAATCTGTTTTAATTTTCTTTACAGCAAGCTAAAGCAAAAGCGAAAGCAAAAGCAAGTGCTAACACTTAAGACAAGCACGAATTACATTTAGCCACGGAGCAAACCCTTTTGTAAAGAATGTTTGCTGCTTTGTAAAAAGTTATTCAGAAAACAATAGCAAAATGTACTATGTATATTTATAATAATTGTGATTATTACGACATAAAGTTAAATGAAATTAAGAATAAAATATGTTATTTATTTCTAACTTGTATAATGTGTTCAATATAATTTGGCTACTTGTTATATAATAATTTTGTTACCATTATCGTGGGTAAGTATACTGATATATATTTCACAGAAAATGAAGGTTGAAATTGTTAAAGCAAAGAATATATCAGAACAGAGATCAGAGGTATTTAATGCTAATATCTTGTAATTTTCTCTCTTCTTATTTTTTTTTTATTCTTTCCAGCTTTGTTTACTGACTCATTTTTTTATATCATTTTATTTTATTAACTACATATTTGAAGACTTCCATGTTGATATTAATCTATTTTATTTTTTATTATTCACCAGTTTAGTTCCAGTCTTGGGAATAGTTGGAAACCTCTGTTCTGAAAATATGTTAGGGTATCGGTGGAAGGAAGAACATAATCAAGAATCAAATTCAGATTTATAGGTTTTGATGATTTATTAGAGTCCCTGGATTACCTTCCCCTGAGGCAGCCCATTCCAATAAGAAAGCCATCCTTTCTCAATTTTTTAATATTTACCATCTTATATCGCATACACTTTTTGTTCCGCTGTCCATTTTTAAGAGCACCTTTTGGATATGGTACATTTATGCAAATGAGGAACGAGCAAACTGTGCGAACGGACAACGGGAATGAAATATGTAACATAAAATCAAATATTTTATATCGGTGTGTATCGTTTCTCTACCATTTTTTTTTTCGAAATAACTGCACTAGCATTATTCGATTAGTTTCCTAATTTGTGGAGACACGATAACGATGCTTGTTTGCAGCATAAAGTGTATACCGTTCCAATACACTAAGCAATGTTGTGTCGAGTTTATCGTTTAGTGTACAGAGCAAAATCACCACAAGGTGGTAAATCCTGTCGAAAAGAGGGACACATTTTATCGCGTCTCCGCAATGTACAATGGATAACGGCGCCTCAGATCCTAAAACTTTAACATTTATAAAAGAAGGACGAGTAGCATTCTGTTCGTGAAACGAGCACCGTTTCTTTGGCAATGTTTCCATTTCACGTGACAAACAAAACTATACGCTTGATCCGTACATCATTCCTGAACAATTCAACGCGTCTCGAACATATTACAAACCAACGAAGAACGAATGGAAAAATAACACGTGATCGGAAGGATCAAGCAGCGCATCGTAACAGACGATAAATGGGGATCGAGAATATGGATACGTACAGGACAGAGATATTTTCAAGTGTCGATGAACTAGGCGTTTCGAGAATGCGTCATTTTTGTTGCCGCTTCGCATTTCGGCGGGATTTCATTCTATCGGGTTTGCAAACGAATCGTTGAAAAATCATACAAATACATCTAGGTATGTTAAAGTCATCGGATACCATCTAATTCGCTGAAACACGAGGCAACATCGGGTCACAAATGTATATCGTGATCATATATATATGTACATTCGTCACATATATGTATACATATATACATGTATGTATTTACATACATACACGTGTGTATGTACGGATGTATATATATGCGTGTGTGTGTATATATATATGTATGCAATGCATGTATGTATAATATGTGCAATCGTATGTGCAATATATTCTGCGATTACAACCACTAAAATGCTATAATATCTTACACGTGCGCGTACTGTCCATGCGAGAAATGATCAATTACAAAAAGATAGCCGAGGCAACAAACGGACGCTTCGTATAACGCCGGCGCGACGAAGATCCATGCTGTAATTACAATGACAACAATGACGGTGATCGTGCTTAAGACGGAGATGATAGAAACAATAGCAACAACAATTAGCTGTATCTCAGTTTCGCTTTTTTCCTTCTCTTTCTTCCGCTAAATTATCGATCGAAAACCAAGAGGACTCTAATTAAATAAAGGAGCAATTACAACGATTAGTCGATGCAAGTTACAACCCTATAATAATATAGTACAGTATCTGTAATTTTCTAGTATTTGAAAAGTTGATTTAAAAATTTAAAAGTTTGAAAGTTTTAAAAGTGATGTAAAGGAGCGATGATTCTGTATGCACAATAACTAATATGTACAAAATTGAATGTTATAACGCTCGTATACATGTGGAGTCCTCGAGGTTATCGATCGGATAGGTGGCGAATTTGATTAGGGTAATTACGGCGATGTAACATCGAGTCACAATTGAAATCCTATCTAAATACTTCATGATAATAATGATATTTAAACTTTGCCTATGTTTATGTAAGACACGACGATATGAAACATGGCACGATGATTCAACGACGATAAAACATCTGATCGATTTCCCTCGTTTGCCGATCGTTCTCGCGACAAATCACCTCAATATTTTAGCTATTGCGGTTGATCGATAGATTCTACTAGACACTCTATCGTACTCGTATTTCCACACATTATCGAATGACTTTTGTCACTTAAATTCTCTCCTTCGCTCGCTCACACTGTACACCGCGTTGCGTTCTTAGGCTTATCGATCTTTTTAGCTTCTGAACACGCCGCGTAAATAAAACCACTATTCTCCTTAATCATTTGAAAAGTATTCTAAATCAGATTTCGACGACTGCTTATATTACGCATTAACACATTAAATGTCATAGTAAAAACGGCTATAAGTGTAATAATTTAGAACACGACCGTATATCACATTCAAATTCAAACTTTTCATTTGTTCGTGAATCTCTACGACATTCAACGTATTAATTGCGGTGTATCGAAGTCGTAATTAAAAGAAAATCATGCTACAGAATTCAGTTACAAAATCTTTTCTCTCGATTAACATTCAATTGTACCACGCAAACGCCAAGAAATCGTAATCTTAACACCCTGACGGCTGAACGTAGAATATTTGATTCTAGCAATTTCAAATAAGAGTAGACTTGCAATTTCATAAGAGTTCTCGTTAAATAAAACTTTATCAAATTTGAATCCATATCTAATCCAAAACCAAATTAACACTGACCCAGCGTTCAAGATTAATATTTGATAGACTAGGTAAACCTAAGATAAGGACTAATGGAATAAGCGCGAACACAAGCCGTCAAAGTGTTAAATTCGTTCGATGATGCACACCGTGTCAAATTATGACGTGATACGAATTTTCCTGAAATGATGATGCATGACCCGATCCGAGGTTTCAAACGATCAATGAAATTTTAGGGTGCGTTTAGCCCAGGCGAGCGGACACATTCTCCCTCATTTCGGTAAAGTTCAAGCGTAAATCAATTCGATCGTCGAATTAATCCGGCTTGATTCCGTTTCGATTTAAACTTCGCGAACAATTGTACATTGCTCGATGGTCGTTTAGAACAAACGAACACGAACGGAATACTCTTGCTCCACAATCTTGCTTGCTTAGTTGAAACGCATCCCTAAAGAACGAAGTGGTAGAAACGAATCGATGAACCGAGAAATTGGGGATCGTATTTGATGACATTGCGCGTGCTGATTCGTCAGGAGAGGATATAACCGAAAAATCATGCATACGTGTTCGAAACTACGGTGAAGAAGGTGTTCCAATCGTACAAACGATCCGGACAAGGACAAGCTCTCCGTGTGAGTGAACGAACGAAAGTGAAACGTTTATTAATAAAGATATCTGAGGGTTCGGTATTATAGGTATTATTCTCTTTCTTTTTTTATCTTTGTGTTGAATGTGCGTGTTTGACTCGGATACAATTGCTTTTAGGTTCACCTATATGTATATTCGGAGGCTGCGCAACGGCGGTGATGTAATACAACGTACTCCTTTCCTCGTCTTTCTCCTCGCTCGTTTTGTTTCGCGTGAAAAATTTTGATAACAACGGTGGTATACTCTCTTTCTCTTTTTTGTGGGGACGACGAAAAAAAAAAACAACGTACTCTTTACTCGTTAAGATATAATTACCTAATTATCACGCAGTCATCCGCATGTACGCACAGAGTTACGCGATCCGTATAATTAGTATTATTATTATTTTTTTTGTCGTTTTTTTTTCTTGCAAATGCGCCTCTCGTCGCATGGATTACAAATGTATCTCCTTAATATGCTTTACTTACGAAACACAAACATTCTGTCGTCTTCTTATTTTTTTGTCTTTTTTATATGCTTTTTCTTTTTGTTCTTTTAATTAATATTTTGTTAGGTATATTACATACGCATCGTACGATTTCTCAAGCATAGTATTGTCAACAGTTGTGTATATAATTTGTTCGTTTCCTCGTTTCATCTTTTTTTTTGTCCCTTCTGCTTTCGTTAAATGGTTTCCTCTGCTACACGCTCCCGCGATACAGCAAATCTAGAGTCTGATGCTTTGAATTATTCCCCTTTCTTTTGGTTCTGCGCCTGTGGTCGGCTACCGGACACAAAAGTACGCGCGGTGACATGTCGCGCTCTCGTCGAATAAGAACTACGGAACACTTGACCCTATTCCATTGTTACATGTCCCATTTTTCTTTCTTTTGCTCCGATACTCCTCCCTTGCACTTTCGAAAACGATAAATCGATTCACGCAACGAGATCAATCACAGGAAAAAGTATATACAAGTTTTATACTCTTTTTACCGTCGGTCACTAGGCTGTTGCACTTGAAATGCTAGATTTATTTAAGTAACTTCAAAGATATATTATTCTCGTTAGAATTAAATACATTGAAAGAGTATGAACATGATGCAGGTTTTTAAGTACACTTTTTATAAAAATCGTATTAAATTGTCGATAACTTTCAATTAGAAATGTTTTTGAATAAATTTTACTCTGATTTATTTGTTAAAATGGACAATCGGCGTTCACGCAATTATTTTAATTAAAATTTCTTTTCAATTGACGCGATAAAGGTAACATTTTTATACTTTCAGAAACTTCTTGTTACAGAATTGATCATTTAACATGCAACAACCTAAAGACATTTTACACGAGATATGTATTTTCATCAACGTACCGTAACCCTTCGGGGACTGTTTTCCGTCTTAAGTTCAAAGTTTCAAAATTTACAGACCGAAAGCTAGCACTATCTTCAAAAATCCATAGATAAACAACGCGCATAGAATGTACCATTTTCTAATAACAATACCCGTGTGAATAGTAACATCGTAACAATATTAATTCTTTAAATTATGTTTTTTTAGGCGTATCTATAATTCAAATCGAATGCAAGTCCAATTAGAGTCTTCCGATCATTTTGATCTGTCCGAACAAGAATGGAAAAAAGTATCTTTTATTCCGAGACAAAAGGGTAGTAAGATGAGAAAAGAAAATTTCTATTTCCCTCTAATTGCGTGAAAATTGTTGCTTCTCTCAAAAATACCTTGTCGTCGCTCGATATGTCCATCGAGATGCATCCCCTTTCTTGGCATCGTATCCGTGTTGTTCTTATCACCGTCCCGGTTGACGATAACCGCGGTACCTTCGTTCTCACACACCGACGAGACTCTTCGGACGTTTAACGAGTATAGAGAATAGAAATCGAAATGTCGTTTAAAAGAGAAAAATACTGTTGCTATTGGGATCGGTGTAATCACGTGCGATAGTGTCGTTATGGACGCGTGTGTATGTAAGTGTCCGTGTTCGTGAGGTACGCTCGTGTGAGTGCTCGAGAAACACGCGCGTGTGTGTAATGTCTCTGTGTGTGTAGACGTGTGTGTGTAGTTTAAAGGGGTAATTATCACAGAATACACGAGATATTTTCATTAAGCTTACGAGATATTAATCGAAGCGGAGAGTAGGAGGAAAAATTGACGGCCAGTGTCGTCGACGAGGCGCGATTGCCGGGTGACCCGTAAATTCAAAGGTGTCCAGAATGGAAACACAAAGGCCCGTTCCCGTTTCGTCGACACGCTTGGCCTGGATACCGAATTCGCCAGCCCTTGTTTCGCAATTAGTATGTAAGTACTTAGGCAGCGGAGAAAATAGACACTTTTACAAATGAAGATGGTGGCGAGATCGCGGACCCGTGTTTCTTTCGACCCAACTTCCCCCCAGATTCCTTTGTCTAATCCCTTATTTCCTGTCTCCTTCCTCCACACGTTTATCGCGTTTCCTACTTCCCTCTTTTGTTTTCTGCCTTTCAACGCGTGCATGCTCGCGGACTCGAAATCGTCTCGAGAACAATCTCGAATAGGGCTGTAACGAGAATTCGAATATTCGAAATTTGAATCGTTCGATTCGATATTACTTGATTTTAGATTCAAGTACTCCGAATACTTAAATATTTGAACGTTCATCTACCAATATTTGTGTTTCCCGCGATTCTTTCGTCGAATTGAAAGGTTCCAACCCTTTACGGGTTCCTCGCCTACTATTCTATTTCGTCTAATAAAGAAATATTCAAATACTCGAATGTTTACAGCTCTAACCTCGAACGAGTTCGCGCGCACTCAGAGTATTAATTCGTCAGGAGTTTTCTAATCGAACGGCACAGATTTAGCCACGTATACGTAGATCTAAGCGTTCTAACCGCGTCGAGGAACATGGTGTACGCGCCGAGCATGGTGTACGTAAATGAAACGATTCGAAACATCGTGTCGCTATAAGTGTCCTACGGTTTTCTCGACGAGGATCAAAGAGGCATCGACTCGTTCGATGGAACGGTCCTTGACGCGAAATTACGTGTACGAGAGATAATTTTGATAAAATTACGTAACCATTGAACGAAGTGCTATGCGCCTGATCTGTAGAGGTACGCGTTCGAATAGGGAAAACACCTGGTTCGATGTAATCTAATTATGAGATCGTGGAACGTTCCTTTTCCTGGGTGGCTCTCTAATCCGTCTCTCTTTCTCTCCAAACGAATATCCCGCGCTCGCAGCTACATCAGCATTTAGACACTATACACAATACGTAAGTATATCTAGACGTACTACGTAGTAGAAACTTTTTTTTCTTGTTTGCTGGATATAATCATTGTAATCTCTGGAATTGTATGTCTGGTCGACCCGTGCGAAGGCCGGAGAGAATGAAATTCATTTAGATATTCTTTTTTTTTCGTTTAAAGTCGCGTGCAACTTTTGTGCATCGTCGTTTAGTTTCATCGTCTGTTTCTTCGTTTGTTCACAGTTTTCTCGGGGGAGATCCGATCGAAGCTTCGTGCGAATAACTGCGACGCGCGTGATTCGACGAGCGTCTCCAACTTTTCCGAAACGAAGGACACACGTATACCGTATATTTGTAGCAGATCGAGGGACCATTTAACTCCCGTCCGCCCTCGATTTCCTCGAGTTCGTATCGGGGGAAGTCTTTCGTTCGAGAGCCACCGACCATCGATCGATAAACCGAACGTGTACCGCGTCCACGAGCGGACGTCGTTTCGTCTATATACAAGAGTAATATCAATGGAGATATCAAGCGAATGGACAGAGAAGTATTAAATGTCCGTTTTCGAAGCTTGCGTTCCACCTCGTCGCGTTTATATACTTGGTTTGGCTCGCTCACACAAAAAGCAACGATCGTCGGGAGAAAGTGTCGAAGTTAGATGATTAGTTTTAATTACCATACAGCTACAACGATATAAAGTTTAATTTCCGAAAAGGTTTGCCGCGTCGTCGATTCGTGGACGAGGTGCCTCTTAAACGGCGTCAATGATCGAGCTCTCTGTTTTCACGCGTGTGGAAAATCGAGGGCGGACGAAGAAGCAATCTCTGTTTTCTTTTTATTTATTTATGTTGTTGTTGTTCTTCTTCTTCTTCGGACGTCGAAGGTATTCGAAGCGAGACTAGAGGGATGATTCACGGACAGTGTTCGAAGTCTTCGAGCGGACCTCGTCGTCATTCGCCACAACAATCAGACTCTTACGATCTCTTGTTTAATTCTTACGATAAGAACGTAACGTTACATTACAATGCCTATTTTTATTACTAACGGCGCGACCCGAGTAACGTCGTGACGCGCCTATTGGTCGTACGCAATGCTATGTTTAAACTGTTATTAGAAAAAACTTCTTCGTCAACAATGTGTTTCACGTATCTACAAGTAAACTCGTCTTCCCGAACAAACGGCCTAAAACGTCGTCTCGCACGAGGGTCTATTGTTATAGGTATCGCGTCTCCTCGTTGCAGCACGATTATTCCCTTTTTTCTGTATCTCGAAGCCACGACCGTTTCGCGATGCTTTCGTTTGCTACCGCGGACCCCGATTCGATCATTCTTCGTTCTCGTTGCGCCACGTCGATTATTTTTCATCGGGGTATCCGTGGACGTCGACAAGGCGTGATCGAGCTAGACGCAATCGTTACGACTAAATTCTTTACGACTCCTTCTTCCTAACCTTACGAATATTACCAAATATATTGCATACTGGCAGCACTGTTTTCACGTATCGCGTCTTTTCGGAACACTCTCGAACAGCCGAGGCTTTCTATCCTCCTTCGTCACGGCACTCGTTCGAATGTTAATCCGTTCCGTGTTTTACCGTGTCCATCGATCACCGTCTTGATCGTCGTTCTCCTCGAAGCAGCCTCGAAAGAGCCGGACCGCTCTTCCGGTTTCTTCTTTTCCTAGTTATTTCCGACGGACGAACGTTTGGGGGTGGCTCGAGTCCCCGTTCGTTCGGATCGGTTGTCTCGCGCGCTTTCCTTTTGTCTCTCGGTTCGATAGGGGACGGGGCTAAAGCTCTGTGTGATTCGTAAAAAAAGAGAGAAGAACACGCTCGACCGGGAGCCGGTTGCTCAGGGAACAGGAAGAAAGATGTCGAGCAGGCGGACGCGTCTTTCGTTCCCTCGCCGACATCGTTAGAACCGAAAAGGATTCGGCCGATCGTTCTCATCGGCGATTTCTCGTCTACGCGTGTACGTGTGTTTTCGTGTGCGCCTCACACGCTGTTCATGGACTTCGTTCTCGACAACGATGGCCGAACCGCTTCTAGTTTCCCCTGTGGACAACGCCCCTCCTCCTCTTCTTCTTCACCTCCGAGCTCTTTCCAAACTCGAAGGACGCATGTCGCTTCGCTGTCGGCTATTAATGCTGCGTCTCCGAGCTTCAGGTAGGATTAGGCAGAGGCGTTTCCTGTCTGATGTCGCTCTTCAGCTTCACGAACTCCTTCGCTATCTCGTCGTTGTTCCTCTGCGAGAGGATCCTCAGGATCGTCCAGCCGGTCTCGTCCATCTGGATTCGCTTGCCCAGCGACAACCAACAGGCACACGAACCTTCCTCGACGATGTCCTTCAACTGCATCACCGCCACACCGACTAGCCTGTCTTCTCTCGCGAAGCAGTAGTCCTTCACGCAGATGTGCAACTCGTAGAAGTCGAGCTGCTGTTGCTCGTTGCCGATCATGCTATACCAGAAAAGAATAAATTAGTTTCTCTCGCTGTTTATTCGGTATCATGTTATAATTGCATCGGGCCTCGTGAAAAATTCAATCGTGCTGTGTTGGTTTAGAACTGATCAATTTAAAAGCAACATCAAACACTGGTTTTATTGTTAAAGAAAACGCAACAGTTTGATCGATAGAACCTACACTTAAAGTAGGCTCCATTACATTCGATAACCTTCTTCTGTCATGCAATGAGGTCATAAACGTCTTTCGTGTCATATCATCCTAGCCTCAATATACTTAAACGATACATCGGATGCATTTTCTTTTCCCAACATAAGACGATAGAATTTTCCTCGGACACTCAACGTCGTTATACTGTTAAGGTATCTATCCACTTTCTTCGTACTGAGAAGAACGTGTTACTCACAAATCGAAGCTCTCATTGAACTGCGGCGACCAATTATTGCTCTTCGACTTCGTCGACTGTTTCCTCTTCTTTCCGGTCAAGTATGGACCGATCAGATTCACTTCGACGTACGGCCTGAACATTCCTGTCGCGAGCTGCCATTTCAGATCGTTCGCGGCAACCACTGAAATACCAATCGAATCGATAGTACATGGCCTACAAGTGTCGTCTGACGTTACGTAAAAAGAAAAAGTACCTTTCACGGTGACCTTTTGTTCGCCGGTTCCAGGATGCGTGAAGAGGTCCACTTGAATGCTGACTTCTCCTACCGAACCTTCATCCGTACCAGCGGTATCTGGAACTTTATCGAAACGATAATTAGATTCGGTGTTCGCGTGTCCAAAAGACGCTAGGTGCTACGAGAGAAAAAAGAGAAAGAGAGCTTCGATCGCTTCTATTCCAGGCTAAAGTTCAAAATTCTGATGCTAAGATTCTATGGTTGGTGTCTAGTTCTAGAGCAGATTACATGCTCTAACGGTTATGCGTGAGATTCGATCGTTTATAGTATTTGTCATATTCGACCAGATCCTCGTATTATCGGCATTCTAGAATATATCTCAAAAAGCTATAATCAAATGTGCAAAAGCATCAGGCCAACTTGTTTCGTTTCCGCTTCGTCTCTCGATCAACGTCGAATCGGCTGTAAATTTCAAATATTCTTTAAAAACGGTGCACAAAACTTCGGTGCTGGTCGTGACACTCTGCTCTCCATCATCCGCTCTGTAATTTGTTCGTAGCTGACGGCTAAGACGTAATTGAACGAAGTTGCACGGTTTCTGGAAATGGATTTACCGTGTCTTCGTCGAAATCGAACAGTTCGCGTGTAAAGTGGTGAATCGGTGATAATCGATCAAAGTCTAGATGTGTGTACTTGTACTTGTGTGAAAGCCTTGAACAGCATAATTGAAGGATGCGTAAGTGTAAACTTGGCAAGGTTCTCGATAACAGCAGCAACAGCGGCAGTAGTGATAGCAGCAGCGCTACCTAATACAACTATCGATCATCGAGGGGCTCTCGGGACGTTGCTTGATCCTCTGATTCTGAACACGCATCTCGAATATACAATTTCTGATGTCCACGTCACCAAGATTCGCAAATTCAGAAATTTAGGAGTATCACATTTTCAACTTTTTACATCTAGAAATTTGGTCGTACGATATTATACTTTTTCGCTCAGTACTTCCAATTTTTATATAAAATGTGTCATCTTTCATATAAAAATTAGTAGTACATTAATTTAAATTTGGACGAATTTTAAATATAACGCAGAATTTAGAGTTGTAACTGTCCCGAGAAAACGACTCGGTGAATAATGCATTAACAAACAGTCCACTACGTCCTAAACGAGCGCCTAGGTTCGAAAGTGACCGGAAGTCAACCAAGAATTCCTGAGGTTCTGCTCTAAGGTGGCTAGTGCTCTCCGATACCTTGTCGACTCTCTCGACGAAGAGAGGGCTTGCTCTGGCGAAGGGGTTCCTCGAGGCTTTCCATACCCTCGGCTCCTTCCCCTTCGTCACCACCTCTCTCGCTGCTCATCGAACGTTGACGCTGACGTAGCTTTGACGCATTGTTCAGTGGCACTGTCGCGATAATTTTCGTTACGTCGATTGTATTCGCACGAACGTACGTCATTTCGCAATGTCGCGATTTACAATACAATTTTTGAGGAACGAATTTTTGTTTAGTATTCAGTGGATATCGTTAACGAGCGTGGTTAAATGTTGAGTAAGAGTGTAAGTTTCCGGTTCAGAGAAATTTCGCACAATGTATCGTAAAATTTGAAATGAAAAAAATAAAAATAAAGCTCGTGTATGAATCAGGTTTTGAATGTCAAGTATTATACAGTGTTGACTGTACATCATAAAAGTTAGTATAACAGTACTATTCGATGGAGAGATAAGTTTGAAACCAACTTACCTTGGTTAACCTGAGATGTGACGAAGGTCTTGATAAGAGTGTCCGTCGTTTGCGTGTACAAGCTCAAAGCGTATCGCAAGCTCTGCAGTTCTGGCGATTTCTCCAAGAACGTCTTCTTCAAACCGTTTCCACCTGCATGGAAGTATTGTTTGATGGTGTCCAGTGCGACCTCGAGAACGGCGCACTGTTTCGGTGACAGGTTCTTTTCTACTTCCTTCGAAATATCCTACATAGAAATTTTTAAATTTAGAAATTTGAGAATGTGGAAGTTTGACCAGGTCCACACTAGTCGTCAGCTACATCGAGAATACACAAAATAAACAAATGTTTACCATCACACCACTCAGCGCATTCTTCACGTCAGGCTTGCCAGTCATGTGGTTCTTGAACAGCTTCGACATGTCTTCTATCTTCGCGTTCGCAGCCAGGTTCTTCGCGTTATCCGTCAGGTTCTTGAACATCATCTGCAACATACACACTCGCATAAATTTCCATATTCCATATGAGGAGCTTAGAACCTCAAAGACGTACGCTCTTATCCGACATGGGTGGAAGCACGACCGTCTTCTCCAAGATTCTCATAACGATCTTCCATAATTCCTTAAGCAGCCTCTTCAGCACGGTCTTCTCGCAAGATTCAGCGTACAACGACAAACTTCCGTCGAGTAGAACCATCAGAGGACGCAGCACCTCGTCAGCTTCCACGGCTACGTTGTTTCTTTGAGCCGGTTGCGACAACTGAACCTGTCCACCGCCCTTGATGGCCAGCAACAAGTCTCCCAGTTCTTTCACCGACGCTGTTATCCTCGGCTCCAGACTCTTCGCGAACAACATGGCCAGATCGTCGAGAGCTCCGTTCAGTTGTTGTTGAAGTTCCTTCAATATGTTCGCCGCGTCTTCTTCCAGCTTCTCTCCACCCATCGACTCGAACATCTTCTCCAGCTGCACTCGAAGTTGCTGAATGTTGTTCATGAGAATGCAAGCCTGAAAGAGAAGGAGTCAGTAGTCGCTCAAATTGTCGAAGTTGGTGTTTTACTTCTTTGGGACACGTACGATACGTTCTTCCTTCAGATGACTCGGGAATTCTTTCTTCACGATGTCCGCGTACGCAACCAGTACTTTCACGATGGTCTTTGCGAATCTCTTCATATACCTCTTCCAGATCTCCGGATCAGGACACTCTAGCTTCGAGACCACGTCGAAGCATTGAGTTAATTGAGTAAAGACGTCGACGACGGAGACGCTGAACAGCGCGTGTTCGCTGCTCTTTTGGAACTGCAATGGATTTATTAATGTCAGATTCTATACTGTTGCTTACTTGTAATAAATATGGCAAAACACTTACTCCGTCCTTCTTGTCTCTGTTGAAGGCACCATGGAGATATTCCAGTGAGACGTCGTCGTTCTCGTTGAGCCACTGCATCACAAACGGCTCGAACCAGGCCGGATATTCCGGCACGGCGCCCTTGTACGGCGGCACGTCCTTCACGTAGTTGGTGTGCAACCATTTAACCTTGAAGTGGAGGTTCATGTAGGCCGAGGATTTGCACAGTCTGTGTTGTTCATGCTCCTCCAGCGCGTACTTCATGTCGACCGCGAACAAGGACCACATAGTGGCCGCTGACAGTTGACCAATGTTAAGCTCCTGCGGGAATTGATTCAGTACAGGGCCGTAACTGTTCTTGTCCTCCTCGATCACCGACACGATCAACGCGATCAGCTTGTGCCAGAAGTCCAACGACTCCAAATGGGGTCCGTGGTCTTCCGCGTCCCTCTTCGCTTCGCTCGGATCCACCTGGAACTCCCTGTTGTAGATGTCGTAACAATTCTCGAACAGGAACTGATACGTCGACCGCAGACACGCCTTCACGCAATCCTTCACCACGATGCTGGCTCTTGGTGGACTCGATAACTCTTGAACCTTCATGCGGAAGAACGTGATGCTGGTCAACAGGTCGACCGTGCTCTTCAGGTCCATCAGTTTCTCTTGACTGGAAGCCGGGAAGTTGTTTCTGTACATCGACAGGTCGATCCTTAGCGAGTTGTGCAGCTGGTCCAGTAGCTTCACGAACTTCTCTTTCTGAAATGTAAGAAATGCCGTGAACGAAGGGAAATGTATGTCGCTTATCGAGTTTCTGTAAATTACGAGGACTGGAATGGGAAACTGGGGCTATCGGTTTAGATGATCTTTTCGAACAGTGTGGCGAGGGAAAATCAGATTATGCTTGTATTTAGGAGGTGATGTGCTGGGACAGAATTGTTTAATTGAGGCGCGATCAAGTGGTGCCTCGAGAGTCACATTCGGCCGACATATTCATTTGACTCAGTCCCTGCTCTAATCACTCTCCAATCTTCTGAACACTCTCAATTGAACACTTTCAAACTCTCAAACCTTTAAACACCCAAATTCTGCAATTCCCAAAGTCCTAACTTCTCAAACTGCAATAATCTTGCATTTCCAAATCTCTAAATTTCTAAATCCTCAGATCCTCAAACCCTCAAATCCCTAAATCCCCAAAGCCTCATACTTTCCTTCAAGTACGATTGTCCAAAGCTCCCAAAACGGTTTGGAGTTACGTAACCAACCTAATCAACTCCACACGCATAGAGGTAATCTTGATTAAAAAGTTGTCAAGGTCCACCACTAAAAAGTTTGATTTATTTTCGTCCCAACTATTAACCACAATAAGACGATAAGAGGTTTCTGTAGATATTAATACGAAAATTATAAAGATTGTTAAGACTGTTGTGAAAGTATTTTATTATCAGAGATTTTATCAAACTCCACGGTTTTATCTGATTAGACCCGAGTTGATTTACATAAACTTTGACTTGGTAATACGGCTCGTTTATTTTAACCGGGAACTAGCGAACGTTGAATTTTTCTGCTGAAATCGTTCTAGTTTATTTCGAGACACGACAGAGTTTCGTTGATAATTCAGCAGGATAAGTCGACAGTACTGTTTACGACTGGTACTAGTTCATGGTCCCGATGGTGGTTGAAAAAGGAGCAGACAGTCAGGATCAACGAGAAAAATGAAAATCCAAAGGGAAGAAGAAACACGTGATCCTCTGGGGAAGTTTTATCGAGCGCATTGTCAAACTACAGACGACTTCAACAATATACTGTGAATAACAAAAAATATTCTATTTCTGAACGTGCTTCGATGTGATAAATATATCTGCAGAGTATCAATGTAATAATTACTTTTGAAAAATTTATTTAATTCTTCATTGCTTCGTTGAGTTTTAAAATTAACAAATTTTTTGCATTTATTAATTAAGCGAAGTGAAGTGATAACTACGTAAAGTTTGTTGAATATAAATATAGATAAATAAGAGTGTTATTTAACGCAAGTATCAGTAGCCTCAGCATGACAGTCAACGATAGCACCATTTATCTTGGCGTCCCTTTATTGCGCGTACCAACCTAATTTTATTTCCAGCGATTCAATTTGCCGCAAATTTCTTTCGACCTTGTTTCGTTAACGTCGAGAAGAGTCATTTTTTCTTTTTACAGGCCCTCGACGAAGATAAAGCTATCGGCTCGTATGTGTGTACCCGCTATTCTGGAAGACGGAGTCATGCATAATTCAAGAACGTTGAAAACAGAAAGCCCCTGTCTTTTTGCTTCCCTTTCAGCAACTTTTTCGAAAAAATTTGCATCATTTTATTAAAACCGCCCTGCAACGAGCAGTGAAATCTGCAGCTTTCATTTGCATAGTCAAAAGTGTCCTCGAATATTTGCTCGTTTTACACGTCCTTAACCGATCGTTTAACAGGAACAGAAGTACAGCGTAAAAGGCACATCAAGTTTCATTAAATATTACGATCTCGGCTTGGAACTCGTGCGAAAAGTGTGCTCGTACTTTTCTTCGAAACTTTGTTGCGATAAGATTAATCCCTATAAAAATCCTTGTCAAGCTCTAAACATTAACCGATTTATTTCGAGCGAAATTATTCTTGAAATATTTTATTAACCTTTCAGTAACGGAAGCAAATTTTATCGTAGTTCAACCTACATTTTTTTTTACTTAAAAGTAGTTTTTTGTTAACATTGTGTTTGTTACACATTGTTCAAAGAAGCAATTTATGTAAGCAAATTTTTATTAAATTTATTATACGTTAATATAAAATTTTAATAAGAGTGAACGAGTAAAAATGGAACGCTGCTGTTCATAAATTTAAATTAATATAAGGTACGTCGTATATGCGCAGCTAAGAATTGTTATGAAGGAAAGAAGAGACTCAACACATTAATTTTTTTGTCTTTCTACCGTTCAGACATACACTTTACAGAGAAGAACACACCGCCAAACATCCCAGTGGACGAAAGTAATCGAGTCGGTGCGAAAAAAAATCTTAATTAAAATCTTAATTAGACCCGGCTACGTAGCGCGTGCCGTTCGTCGTGTTTTCAATTTCAGGCTCTAGGAAGTTGCGGCGAGGTAGACGAGGCAGAAAAACGACCAGTTTAACCGAAGGATTTTCAAATGAAATTGATATAACAACAGAGATTCAACTTCTTCAAAATTCATTGGTACAGGAATATCAGAACGAATCGATAGCAAGGGAATAAACTTACTGGGTTAATGAGAAACTGTGTCAACATTTGACTTACTAAAAAATTTGTATAACCAGCGTCAGTAATATAAAAGTGATTATTTTTAATTTTATAAAGTAGATATAAATTCGACAATGCAGAATATAATTATAAAGAATAGTTTATTATGACGGAACAGTATGTCTACTATTTTTTTATTTACTATAACTCTGGTACTGCATTGAACTCACCCCAAAATTGCTGGCAGCGAATCGATCACTAGCCGAAACTGCGGAACTTGCACTGGTATGGGCATAATACGCGTTTATGTTCGCCAAAAGGGTTGACATTACTGCTGGCACACCTGGACATAGGTATTTCGTCGAGAGGCAGTGAAAGTGTCTGAAAAATAGTCGTGGAAATTCGGAAATTAGTAACATCGTGCAGGTAGTTACGACTCGTGCGAATATGGCGCATGAAGATATGGCGCGTGGAGGTGTGACGCGTGGAGGTATGATGCGTTGCAATATGACGCGTGAAAATACGATGCATGGAGATACGACGCGTGGAGGTATCACGCGTGGAAGTATAACGCGTTGCGATATGACGCGTGGAAATACGATGTATGGAGATACGACGCGTGGAGATATCACGCATGGAAGTACGGTGCGTTGCTATATGACGCGTGAAAGTACGATGCGTGGAGATATCACGCGTGGAAGTACGGTGCATTGCTATATGACGCGTGAAAGTACGATGCATGGAGATACGACGCGTGGAAATATCACGCGTGGAAGTACGGTGCGTTGCTATATGACGCGTGAAAGTACGATGCGTGGAGATATCACGCGTGGAAGTACGGTGCATTGCTATATGACGCGTGAAAGTACGACGCGTGGAGGTATCACGCGTGGAAGTACGGTGCGTTGCTATATGACGCGTGAAAGTACGATGCATGGAGATACGACGCGTGGAGCTATCACGCGTGGAGGTACGATGCGTTGCGATATAACGCGTGAAAGTACGATGCATGGAGATATGACGCGTGGAAATATCACGCGTGGAAGTGTAATGCGTTGCGATATAACGCGTGAAAATACAATACATGGAGATACCACGCGTAAAACTATCCCACATAGAAATACAACATATGAAAATATAACGCCTGTATATACAGAGCGTAGAACTACAACGTGTAATCTTAAAAAACACAGACCGGTCATTAAACACAACCTAGTACCGTAGTATACAGCGATACACTAAGTACTAATATATCGTGATTCTTCGCGCTGTACCTCCATTAATCTGCATAAAAATGCACATAAAAGCAGCAATACAAGAAAATGTACTTTGCACAGATTTCCCGGAAAAATTAGCACAAAGAGGTGGTAGAAGAACTTGAACCCGCCAAAATGATTGAAAATGAGGTTAATTATCAGTACTTACGTCATAGCTTGGTAGATACTCTCGATGCCGTATCTCATAGCGAATTCGTCGACGAGTTCCTCGCCAGGTGGGTCAAAGTAGACCTTCCAGGCGTCGTCTCCTTTCGCTTGAGGCAACGCGACCACACCGTCGTTTTTCTCGCACAGACTGTGGAAGAGATTCTCGTGCAGACATGTATACTGCACGTGATAAGGCGCCACCTTTTCCTCTCCTTTGATCTCGACGCTGATGTGCAGCCTAATCGCGCCGGACACCGCGCTCTTGTCTGTCCTCTTTTCCAGGTTGTACCAGACGTCCATTTCGCCGCTGAGCGTCCTCACCTCGATGATGGTCTGCCCGAGGAAATCGTCGCTCTCTCGAGTCAACTTTTGCCGCAGCTTCGACTTCAGGTCGTTGTCCTCGTCCCACACTCTCACTTTTATCCGATCGGACGAGTTGTGACACTCGCTGTGAACACGCATTTCATTTCGTTACGCTAATATTTTTAATATTGATTCACTTGTTAACTCGCGAAAAGCCAGGGGTGAGATAGTAAAAGTTGTTAACTTTTATTCTGGACAATAGTAGTTTTGGAAAAGAAAATGAGGTTCAAAATCAAGCTTGGTAATTTCTCAGTAATAAAGAGAAATTTTAATAGGCATTCGATTGGAGTGACTCAGATTGCAACTGGAGTGCAAGAGAAATATTTTATTTTAATTAACGAAGCTTCTTTTAGCACATGTCCCATGTCGTTAAACAAGCAAAAATTAATATTTCTAAGTGACATAATACATTTATTTTTTACAATGTATCTCTTTATTCCTAACAGAAATGTAGAAATATCTTTAATTTTCAAGCCGAAAAGTTCAAATATACGAGCCTTCGGTAATTTTAATATTCCAAGTTTTTCCTGCCGCGAGGAATATCGATATTACGTGTCTAGCAGATTCGCGATAATAAAATTACTCACAAGTAGAACTTCTCGTGCCAAACCGGATTTAATTCCCTCGGCATCGTCCTGGTTCGTTTCTTCACTTTGCCGACCTGGACCGTCACGTACGGATCAGACGTGCCGCTCTTGTCTTTCGCGATCAGCCCCTGAGCGCAGATCACTGTGGAAGTTGTAGAAAATTCATCGTTAGATAATCATCTTTCACTGGCTTGCCTAACACGATACGCGCTCCACATAATGTTCGAAACTCGTCGAATTCACCACTTACTTCTGCTTCCCTTATTTCTTTACTTACCGCGAGAAACTTCGATTTACCTTGCCCGATAGGAAACTTTACCTGTTGCCCTTACTCGAGAAAACGACTTCCTAGCAACTATTCAATGAATGAGTTGTTCACGTTCGTTCAATTCAATTTTTAAATTGCCAAGAAAATCAAGCTTTGATGTAACTCTTACAACTTTTCTATTTCTGGTTTTTAAAGCGATTTTAATCTTGATTCAAAATATCTTCTCTAAAATCACAAATTGTATACTTGCACTGAATTCTACTTCTGTAGAATTTTTCCATTAAATCCTCGTCTATGTTAGTTGCAGATACGACCTTCGTTTTGTTCAACGGAGTATTAATCAGACACAACTTCTGAAAGAGCCGTAAATTCGTGAAATTCGTGTGTCTACGTTAGAAAAGAGGATTACACGTTAGTTGAGAAGTGTCGCGCGTTAAAGTATGTTACGATCAGTTTCACGAGACCGATCCTCCTGCGCGGATGATCAGACACGATCGCGGTTACGAGTTTCGCAACTGAGCCACACTTTTCTTGAGGCAATATAACTTTTAGTGGATTCGATGCTCTAAATAGACTGACACAAATTCGGATAACGTCTCTTGCGAAATAAAGAGTATCTTCGATTTAAGGGGTTAACGATGAGGACGTGGGACTATGGGGATTTGGGGATGTGAGGATGTAGTATTCTGGGGGTGTAGGAATCTTGGGATCTAGGGATCTGGGGATGTGGAGTTCTCGGAATGTAGGGATTGTGGAATATAGGGATTTGGGGATGTGAGGATGTAGTATTCTGGGGGTGTAGGAATCTTGGGATATAGGGATCTGGGGATGTGGAGGTCTCGGAATGTAGGGATTGTGGAATATAGGGATTTGGGGATGTGAGGATGTAGTATTCTGGGGGTGTAGGAATCTTGGGATTTGGGGATGTGAGGATGTAGTATTCTGGGGGTGTAGGAATCTTGGGATCTAGGGATCTGGGGATGTGGAGGTCTCGGGGTGTAGGGATTGTGGAATATAGGGAATTTGGAGATGTGAGAATGTAGTATTCTGGGGGTGTTGGAATCTTGGGATATAGGGATCTGGGGATGTGGAGGTCTCGGGATGTAGGGATTGTGGAATATAGGGATTTTGGGATATAGGTGTCTCGGGTTGTAGAGATCTTGGAACATGAGGATTTCCGACTATAGAGATTTCGGCGTGTAGGTATCTTGGGATGTGGAGACCTCAGGACGTAGAAATCTCGGAATATAGAGATCTTGGGTTTTAGGGACCTTGGGACATGGGAATCTCGGGATTTTTCAGTTATAGAAACCTCGGAATATGGGAATTTCGGAACATATGAATCTTGGTACACAGAGATCTCAAGATATAGGAATCTCGAATTGTACGAACCTCGAAATATAATAATCTAGCAGTCTTGAAACTCCAAAATGTCCATCTCCAAAAATGAAAAAAGTAAAGAAACAAATTTAAAACGCAAACTTGCAGAAATCGTTTAATCGCGAAAATCAGAGGTGCAACATTTTTTACCCGATTATGACTTTTGGCGCATTTAACCCGATGAAAATTAGATTCAAAGATCCGCGCAGTCGGGAATGTTTGCACACGAGGTGAAAACCACGTATGCAAAGCCTTTCGCAATTTTATTTATCGCCGCGGAAAAGTGCTGATTGTTTCCCTGGAAAATTTCTGGCTTGTGTTTTCATTTGCATGAATTTTCCGCAAACATCATTTACAGGAGAAATTAATTCCGTTTTCCGCTTTAATTACGCCATCGCATTCTCGGATGATGGGCAACAGGTAATTAGATCGACACTCGGTTCGAGCAATGTTTACCTTCGCTTCAGCGTGGCATGAAAAATCGTCATAATAAAACATATGGTTATATCTCGTTGAAATTAATTTCCATGGGAAATTGATTCGTCGCTGGCTCGATAGATATTCCGAACAGTTTGCCTCTTACTTATCACCACGTAACACATCGAGAAACATTTACGTATCGATAATGAGATCGGAGGATTTCACGCGGTTTGTGAACACCTATCAGGATACGAAAACTTGTCATATTTCCAACACAGTTACCATTGATCATACCGACAGTCTCATGCACATCTAACAACCATCGAACTGAGGTCACGTTTCTTTTTGCAGCCACCTCGTAAGCGTGCAAAAGCTCGGCGTGAGTCGTGTGGGTACATCGAACAAATATCGGTGGTTTAATTCGAGACGACAACGATTTGGGGATCTGATATTTCACGTTATGGGTTTTACCAAACAATGTCACCTACATTTTTCTGAAACATTAGCAAAGAAATTTCTCGATAAAATACCGATGTGCAAGTTTCTTCGAACTGTATTAAAGAGCGATAAATATCGATTAAAAGTTTGCTATGAATTTGTGTAGAGAATTCACAAGGTCTGAAAACTCTATCTGCTCGTAAACACCTGCAGCGAACACGACATAATCGTATTCCGAGCAATCACATCGCGTGTGAGTACCGAATCGGTTAGAACATTGTTCCCCAAATTCGTCACCTCCTCGAAGCAGACCACGCTCGCCAAACTAAAGTACTGGTGTATATACATGTACACATTATACACATACACACACATATAGAACACGTAAGTAGTACATATATATCACAGGATCGACGTGCTGCGATTCGAAACATACAGACACACATGCCCATGCTACTAACTCGTTTAATTGGCCCCGATGGGGAGGGGGGACGATCGCCGATGCTTCCCGTCCTCGACGTACGTCGATTTCATACCTAATCTCGTTAAATCTTCGAGTTGTGGCCGCAGTTCACTCCACGATGAGTTTGTGCGTGTACGTGTGTGTGTGTTTGTATGTTTGTTCGCGTAAATGTATATTATACTTATTATATGTGTGTGCATCGTTCTGCGAGCCCCGTGTCGATGACCGCTCGTGTTCATCTTGATTGTGTTCAGTTGTGACCAATAATGTTCACGAATAAATCGTCTTACTTCGGTGGATCGTTATAATCCGGCGTTCGTCGACGAATTAAAACGTCGATACGTGTACCGAGCGATTAAACTCGCGGGCGAGGTTGTTTTACGCGATGGGCGATTAACGGAGGGTGGCCTAAGGAGCGTCCTCTTCTAAATCGATACTCTACGAGGGGGAGATCGGAGAGAAAAGTACTCTAGAACTGACTACTGGGTAATCGTACGGAAGGGCACTGAATTACGGGTCTGCGGTAAAGGTCGTGCAAACGGGAACCTGGCAATTCGGCGAAAATTAGACGAAATTGGGTAATTACGGAACGAACCCAGCCAAACCTGCCTTCTTTCACTGACGTCTTTAGATCTCTACTTTTTATATTTTACTTTGCTGCGTCAATTTGATTAAGTTAATCGCCGAACCGGTATTAATATCTCGTCCACAGCTCGCAAATGAAAATTGGAAGGAATAATCGATATCATCGAGGCCCTCTTTATTGGAGCACACGGAAATTTCATTATTTCGTATGTTTCAAATGCTTACAATCTGTTTTGTTAATAATAATCCGTTTTGTTAATTAATGCCCATATTTTGGTGATTACAATATTGTATCGACGGTGCATGTCAAAATATTTACAGCGTATATTGATTTTGAGTTAAAAAAATTGAATACAACTGAAAATTGTAACTGCACTTTACTTCTAAACGAATTAACTTTTTTACTGCTTTTGGAGAGTGAAAATTGCATCGGATAACGTAGTTAAGAGAATAAAGTTTCGTTAAAAAAAGTGTAGTTGCACTTTTCGCCTGCGTTAAAGCATAAAAATGCGTGAACTTCATTCCAGCCTGTACATCGTTCAAATTATTAATTCTTTAAAGCTTATTAGTTTTTTTTACCGAATAAAAAATTGTTTTATCGCTAAAAATTTTGTGAAAATATTCTCGAATTTCTGGTTCAACTAATTATTTTTAATTATCTCAAAAGACGTCAGTGAACTCTTCAACCATTTCGACTAATTTTCATTCGAAGGATATTCCTTTCGTATTACAATCTTCACCGCAAATTATACACCAGGAAGCTTTCAATCAGACAGCGTTCGCAAACACCACGAAGTTTTGCAATCGTGACTGTTCCGAACATAATCGCGCTTTCCGGGGATGACATATAATTGCATTCGTTATCAGTGCAGTTACCTGCGTGTACGCGAAACCAACATGAAATGTTATGCCAACGTTATCGTAGGTGGTCTGGTTGATCAAATTTTCAATTAACCAACTGATCAAGTGATGATGGATAAATTGGTAACATGAACGCTACATTGTCGTGATTTTGGGGCTAATTGCAACGTTAACGAATGCAACCCCTGCCTAACTCTCCAATTAACACTTGCGCGGATAATCAAATACTCTGCTAATCATTGTTGTATCAATATGAACAATTTTTCTCATAAATCAACGTAAAAAGTGGAGTTAAAATATGGAAACGAGTTGTCAGATATTCATTGAAATTTTCCTTGCGTAAATTTTGAGAACGTAGCAGATGAAATTTGAGCAGACAATAAAAACTTAAAGTATAAAAATGTGTATTCGAGTAATCGCGAATTTAATTTTAAAAATTTTGCTTAAATTTACATCGCTTTCTCTTTTTTCTAAGATGGCCGATCTGATTGCAAGCATCGCCGGTGCAGGGATCTATCTTGATTACGAAAGTAACGAGGAACATTATAGTAGAGAGCTAGTTTAATATCTAACGCCTAAATGGAAGTCTAACGAGGGTAGGAAGAAAGTAGATAGTTTCTATTCGACTATCGAAAGAAAGGGTACTAAGTTTGCATGATACCGAATGAGATTGTACAATGAATTGTTCAGTCTCGAATGAACGGTTCAATCAATATGTCCACTTGTT